ATGTCGCCACCATGTCGCCGGACTAAGTGCTCTAATGGAGCCGGTAGATACAATAGCGAAGTTGACATGAAACAGAAGCTAATGCACGACATTGTGCATAATGTGACTTCAATACGATTACCGAGTTCAAAGTCCGTCTCGGGTTTATTATGTTTCCAAATAATCCATTTTTATCGTCAACCTAGAAAGTAAAAAAAAATCATTTATTTATAATTATAAGTTTGGTATCGGATTTGACTTTGACTTTATAAGTTTGGTATCGCCAATCCGCCTCGAACTCAGTCAGATTGTCAGACTCTGATTGACTATGAAACTTCTCGATTTCTCCTGTACCAGGCCGCTTGACCTTGGCTGAAATCCGATTGCCCTATGGTCGTACGTTTCAGGATAATTCTTGGTCTACTTAAGCCTAGTCAAAACTAGTTTGTTCTCAAATCGGATTTGTGAGTAAAATTTACACGAAAAATAGGCATATATAACTGATTGGAAGTAAGATTACGTTTGCTCTTTTAGTCTTGCTTTTTTTTTTCTTTGATGCTAACTTTATAGACAACAAAATCATGATTGATATTAAAGAGCTGATTCTGTTCATATTGTAATATGATACTTAAGTTTATAACATAAGAGTTCTATTCATGTGAACAATAGAATTGACATCCCTTGTCTTGCTAAGTAACAGGCATTAAGCTGTAATACCTACCTGATATGTTTCTGTTCAAAAATTTTCATTCATTATTTAGTGTAGGTTAATGTTTTCTATTGAATAGGGTTCAGATTACAAAGACAAACATCTTTGTATTACCATCTTTCATTGTTCTTATTAGGTTAAAATAATCCATCCAGCAAACAAGATATTATAAAGATTTTTTGAAAGTGTGGGAGAGCCATGCTTCGGCACGAATGGGTCGGCTCGACCGGAGTGATACCATGGCCTTACAAAAACCCGATGTGAAATAACCACAGCGTTGTGTTTCGCTGTATGAGTTAAGTTACCGGAGGCCCAATCCTTCCCCACCCCCAATCCCTCCTCAATCCCTAAATCTCCAAATCCCTGATCCCTAAAAGGTCGGCAACGCATTCGTAACTCCTCCGTTGCGAGTGTCCAAGGGCGGCGCTGATTGCTTACCATCAGGTAATCCGTCTGATCGTTTGTCGACCTATAAGATAAAAAAAAGATTTCACTTATAACATATCAATAATTATTGAAAGTTAAAAAGTTTTAAGAAGGGTTCTTGTTTATTCTAAAAAAAATTTAAAGACCTATCTAATTTTGACAGAATAATATCGTTAAATCACTCCCCAATCCCGTCCTTAGTAAGGCGTGAGACTTTTACAGACTATTTTCAATCACTTCGTTTCAGTTTCTGTTCCGGTCAGAACATTTGACAAGTAGTAAAATCAAAATTTTGTCTTCTATAGCTTATTGATACTTACTTAAAAGAAGAAACATGATGCACGATGCGTTCACGTATCGGCTACGTGGTTTACACGACTACGACATGTTACGCTAATACGACACGGCTACATTTACGAATCGGCTACGCGGATCATATAATATTGCTACGCGTTTACAATCGGCTACAAGACCTATACACATACATACGTGGGATGATACTCAATAAATTATTTTGTAGCGTCTCTGCGATGGGTTACGCAATTTGATTTATGTTACTGCCACAAGACTATGTTCAAATCTGCTACGTGGCTGTTACAAAATTGCTACGCGTTTGCAGTCGGCTACGAGGTGACACCTACGCTACTGCTACTTAGCTACGTCCGCGTATCAGCTACGCGGAATACGCGGTATTTTTTATAAGCGTCTCTACGATGCTACAAAATGTTACGCTAATTACGTCATGGCTATTTTAACGTTTTGGCTACTACGACACAATACAGCTTCGCAATTCTTCATGAACTTTTGTTTATGCTATCGTTGAGGGATCATCTGCACCACCACCAACTTAGCATTTTTTTTTTAGCTTTTAAAAAAAACGTTCGTCAATTACAGTTGAGTAGACAAAAATTAAAAGACTACCTGACCCTGATTTCCTGTCCCTCGTGCCTGGTCACAGAAGGTATTAGTATATAACCAAATCTCAAGTGTTGGAGAGCCATGCTTCTCTTCTTCTTCAAATGGGCCGACGACAGTGTGACAACACGGCCTCACAAAAATCCGCCGTAGGAATGATGTTACCGGAGGACCAATTCCCCAAATAATCTTCATACCCTTTCCTTGCGAGTAGAACCCTGTGCTCAGTAGTTTATATAGGAATTGAATATCATTTGATGTCGCCGCTTTTACCTACGCAGTTCAAAAACCTTCAGTGTTTTGACCTTAACAGTTCAAGGTCATCATGTCCATTTTATTCAAATAGATAATAATGATAGTAGTAGTTAGTTTACGTTAATCATTTATAATTGATAATCAATATTGTTTCAAATGACGAGTATAGAATTCAAGCGGCAATTTATTCATTACTAGCGAAGTAGCAACCCGTCTTTACTTTCCATAGGTGTAATGCTGCTACTAAATTTCTCCACTATTTAATGAATGTTATACATAGGTATAAACCATCTCTTTAATCAATTTATCTACAAAAAACTGCATCAAAATCCGTTGCGTAGTTTTAAAAATTTAAAACCCACTCAACAGACCCGGGTACGGTTTTAAAATGCGACAAATACCAGACCGTACTAGCTATGCTATACTCAAAAGTTAAAAAATAACTAAGTGAAAGGAACTAAAACTGCATCAAAATCCGTTGCGTAGTTTTAAAGATTTAAGCCCACTCAACAGACCCGGGTACGTCCTTAAAATGCGACCACTACCAGACCATACTAGCTATGCTATACTCAAAAGTTAAAAAATAACTAAGTGAAAGGAACTAAAACTGCATCAAAATCCGTTGCGTAGTTTTAAAGATTTAAGCCCACTCAACAGACCCGGGTACGTCCTTAAAATGCGACCACTACCAGACCAGACTAGCTGTGCTATACTCAAAAGTTAAAAAATAACGAAGTGAAAGGAACTAAAACAAGTGAGTATTTTGACGTTTGTGTACAGGCGAGATGAGAAGCGAAGTGATATGTGAATTTAGAGGCGATTCACGATTTACTGATCCATATATGTATATCGGTGACCTAACTGCGATCCCCAAACCGCCTGTCAAGCGTGGGTATTACAATTCCTCCAACATCCCAAAATTCAAAGTCCACATCAATTAAAATACTGATAATTGCAATTTATATTTTGATAACACATTGTTACTAATTACTTTCCACTTCGATTACTCCAATTAACAACATATTTGGTGCAAGAGATAACTCTGTTGTACCTACTTATAATTTATTGTGAAATAATGTTATTTTATTTATTGTTCACATGTGGTCCTTGGGTGGGTTGTTAATAAGCAGCGCATTTCTTCAGATAGGTAAGTACGTTATTTGTAAAAAAAACGTGTACGTCTTTTGCTGACTTGATCTCACGGAGAATCGATACGAATCGATACGATATGGTACGATTTTTATACCAGTAGGCGTTAAAGCGTCAATATTCCGGGTGAGAAAGAGGCATAGAACTATACACCTTTATAGCTCCATCCCTCTTTCTCATGGTAGGCCCTTTGACTATAAAGGTTTTCTCGCACGGAAATCATAGCGCGTGTGCATTGAACAACAACAAAAAAAAATACATTGTTTTTCTTTATAACAATACCGTACACCATTTTTTATTTTATCTTAAAAGCCAGTTAATGGCAAATGCCAACAAATTAAATGATTAATATCAAACACATGACAAAGCGACTAGGTCGTTGTTATCTACAAAAACAGGGACTAGGTAACTGTAGCACTTTGTATTCAGTAATATAATTATAGATAATGAAATATGACTCGTAACCATTATCAGGGAAACAGGCTGAAATGATAAACTTATCAAGTGTCACAGCTACTTGGTGATAATGAAATATTTATTGTGCATATAACTCCCGCGGCGTGATTTAACAAAACATTTGGCTTATTTTAATACTTTTTTTTATTGATAATAACGATTTAATCACGGATATAAATTATGAAAAGCTCTACTAGGTTCAAGTTTCAAAGGAGCTCTTAGTCTTAGCGCTGTAAAGCTATACCTAAATATTAGAGTAAAATAAATAAAAAAAAACTCTTATGCTAGCTACTTTTTTTTGTTAAACAGACCTCTTCTATTTTTAAAGCGTGGTATAATAATATTTTGAACGAAAACTACTAGCTTTTGCATCAATATGTTGTATGCACAGGAAAATCCATAATTCATAAAATACATAATTCTAATATTCATTTCTAGTAGCGTAGGCTCCGAAGGTAGAATGCTAACCGAGGAGCCATTTTTTATAATAACACAAGGATTTTTTAACGTTGTCCCACATTGCAATTTTGTCCTGTGTCGTATGCGTTTACAAATATATGTACCTACATATCACACTCAGACCCGGAACAATTTTTGGATCATACAAAGATATATGTACCCTGTCACAACCATAATACCTACTACGGGTAAAATTCTAGTGTAAAAAACTAATGCATGGTTCTATTTTCTATGTGATTATTTTCCCATTTTCCATACTTAAGAAGAAAAACATTTCCGATTTTGTATAGCGTGGCGCCTCTGAGCTTCAATGACTTCGACCCACTAACCTATTTTATCAAGAATGTTCGAAAATGTTCGACCTAGAAGGTCGGTGACCTATTTTAACGAAATGAATGGAGACTGTGCGGTTTTTGTATTTGTCTAAGTTTTGTTTGCTGTTCAAGATTACTTTATATAAGATTTTATGTAAATAATTCTTGTGTAAATGACAATGATATGCGAACACGAATACCTATTAATAGCTGTTACAATAATATAAGTATGTGATCAAAACGTGGTCCTAATATACGATTTTATTTGGTCCTTCTAGTTGTAGGTTCCATACTTAATAAAGTACTTTTAATATATATAACTAATGGAAAATCCACCTCAGTGGAATTCCTCAATGCCATTGCCATCTTAAAACAATCGTTCATTCAACTGTTAAGTGGCCGTGATTTTAACATAATCGCCAGTACTGGCTCAACCGTCGAGCCGTCAGCCGACTTACGTAACTCCGCCATATTTCCGCATTCGCGCGCCAAAATCATTTACAAACGTCACACATACGTCATTCTCTCAATAAACGTAGTGAACACGTGGTTTAAGACCTGTCAAGTAGTTTTATAACTATTTTTAACTCTATTTGTATGGAGCTAACAATTGAATTTGCTTATTCGTGTAATTAAGCGTGTTTCAATATACCTGAGTTTCAATGTCATACCAGAGATAACATTTCTCGTCTTTATTTCATTTTTAATGATAGTGAGTGTTCTGTTTGGACGATGTAACGTGTGATGCCAAAGTGATATTAATATAATTTAGTAATTAATGTTATTTATTGAATTGTGATATTTATATAACTTTAATTGTTAGTACAAGGTGAGTTTGGTTTAAATAAGTATTTACTACCTATATGTAGCAAGGCAAGGCAAGCATTTAAATATTTTATTGGTTGGATAATAATGGCTTAATATAATGTTTTGTGAGATGGATTCTAGAACGTTTCTTTTTTAATTAGAAATGCATATATTCTATATTTTAATGAATAAAAGAAAAACTATATTTTTTTATATTTTAAATTTAAAATGGTAAGCTATAGCATTCTAAATCGGCATAAATTACTTTTCAATTTATTTTGTTTTTTAGTTTTTCTTCTAGCAGAATTTTCATTCCTTCTTTTTGATATGGTCTAAATTTGTATTATATAGATTGTTTCCAAAATTGGTAATTGTACTAATTTAGTATTTATGTATTTTATTATGAATCTACCAAACAAGAGTTTTGTTTCTTTACAATAACGCCCTATTGATCGACCGCCTGCGAGCTTGAGAGTTAAGAAGTCCTTGGGATCGATTCCCGGTTCGGCCAAAATTGTATTGAGTGGTTTTCTAATATTGTTAAATTCTTTTTGAATCAATGGCATATGAGTTAAACGCAATTTTTTCTGTGTAAATTTTAGATCGTTCGCCACGTGTATTTTCTGTTTACCATATCATTAGAGTATTGAGTGATACTCCTACGAATGATGATGATATCACATGGCTACCTGCCAGTTTGCGTTCATTGTGTTTCTTAGTACTCATTACTAATTATTGTTTATATAGCAATGCACTTTTATAAGGATAACATGACGCAAATGTATGCACAAGGTATAATTTGTATTTTACCGTGTTTACGACTACTCATAATTATAGTTAATTGGTAACTTTGATTTTAACAGAAAAAAGGCATTTTCTTATTGGCTTTAAACGCTGCTGTTTTCAAAATCCATAATACATAACTTTTATAATATTCGTGTTGCATTTTTGTAAAAACATAGTTTAGTATCCTTACAAATGAATGTGTACCTAAGGACCAAATTAGAAATCCTTGCATCAGATTTATAAGTAACATTCTTTCGATGTATTAAAATCCAAATATCTATAATATAATATATAATATAAAAAATCAATTCACATAAAATTTGTTTTTGAAAACAAATGCCACGAATCTTACATAGTTCTTCTGCAGTATCTAACTCACCGTTTCGATGCATCGACCATTACCACACCGAATGAGCTTAGCGATATTTTTTCGAAAAATTTTCAGTCATTTCAAATTAATTAACAATACACAAATACTAATTTTCAGTAACTTAAAACATGGACTTCATAATCGGCGGCCTAGCCGGCGCCGGCGCAACAATTTTCACAAATCCAATGGACGTTGTCAAAACTCGGATGCAGTTGCAAGGGGAGCTGCGCGCGCGCACCGACGCTACCACGCGGTATCGGGGCATCTTCCACGCGCTGTACGTGATCGCCAGAGCTGATGGTGCTTTGGCGTTGCAGAAAGGATTGGCTCCAGCTATGGTGCTTGGATTCACTATGAATTCCGTCAGGTAAATTTTTACTTAAATCCTTTATGGATGAGAGTAGGAGATATTTGTCACGACGATGCCTCTTCTTTGGCCTCTCATAATAAGATTGCAAGCACAATAATATGTATACCGCGATGGTGTTACCAGCGATGATCTATGGAACTGAAACGTAGTCTCTTACTGTGGGCCTTATAAAGAAGCTCAAGGTCGTTCAGCGCGCTATGGAAAGGGCTATGCTCGGAATTTCTTTGCGAGACCGAATAAAAAACGAGGATGTCCGCAAACGAACAAAGGTTTCCGACATAGCCCAACGGATTAGTCAGTTGAAGTGGTAATGGGCAGGGCACATAGCGCGTAGAACCGACGTCCGCTGGGGCAGAAAGGTTCTCGAGTGGAGGCCACGTACCGGCAAGCGCAGCGTAGGACGTCCACCCGCAAGGTGGACAGACGACCTGATTAAGGTCGCAGGAAGCCGCTGGATGCAGGTCGCTTCCAACCGGCCTATCTGGAAGTCAATGGGGGAGGCCTATGTTCAGCAGTGGACGTCCTGTAGATGATGATGATGATGGTTTAGAGAAGGTCTAGGAACGGGATGGTAGCTAGTAAGAGACCGATACTCGCTCTCGACCGATCTAGGTCGGAGGGAGTGATTAAATTTGTTTCCCCACCTCAAAGAATATTTCCGTGAGTGAAGCATTTTGATTGATCCATTGATATATTGTTGAACAGGCGCTAAGTTATTATCATACTTTATTATGATTAAAAGAGGTAGTACTTTAATAGATTTTCTTCTCTTTTAAAGTACAAAAAATGGGTAGGGACGTTTTAAACATCTTTTAAACCATGTTTTGGTTATGTTCATTTTCTATTTCAGTTTTATTTTGGCCGTTAATTTATTGTGATGCGTAGTATGGATAAGGGGGATAAGGTTAGCGTAGGAAGAGTGATCTCCCAATTTACACTTCTAATATTTTTGAATTAAACTAAACAATCCCGCAAATACCAATCCTCCAAAAAGTAGGCAACCCATTTGCAACATCGCTGGAGGTGTATATAGGCGACGTAAATTGCTTACTGGGTGATTCTCTAACTCATTTGCTCCCTGAACTCCATAAAAAAACTCAAAATTGCTTTTTTTATTAAATTATGTAAAAACACGTTTCAGACTGGGCATGTACCACGTCGCAGAAGTTAACGGTTGGACAAAAAACAAAAATGGTGACATTAGCATAGAAAAAGCAATGTTTTGGTCAAGTGTGAGCGGTATTATGAGTGGTGTGACTGGCAACCCTGCGTCTGTGGTGAAGACTAGAATACAGGCCGCAGCACACCCTAGTATAGCTGTTGGAAGGCAGCATAAGTATAAAGGTGAGGGTATCTTGTTTGGTCCTTCGGTACATGTGCCAAAATCGTCCAAATCATATGATTTTTACGACGACGACGGTCAATATTGCGCGATGAAAAAAGCCCGGCAACACGTCTGTGACTCCTCCTGTTTGTCCATGGGCAGCGTCGGTCACTTACCATCAGGTCACCCGTATGCTCATTTGCCACCTATTCCATAAAAACAAGTGTTAACGGAAGATTTGCTTTCAGCAGTATTCTATCTGCAGTCATTAATTAAATATAGAGAAAAACTGACCTATTTACCTACTACACATGTTACTATCAACCAAGCCTAATACCGACTCCATGCTACTGAAAATAGTGAATGATAAAACACCCAGTAAGGTTTTCCTGCATTAAATATTCGTTCTAGTGCGATTTAGCAACAAATAAATAAGCATATTTTCTTCTAAATCTAACTTCAAATATTACAGGAATGTGTGATGGCATCATCACAATATACAAGACTGAAGGGTTCAGGGGTTTCTTTGCGGGAGTCACCGCGACGTGCACGAGGCTGGCCATCGGCAGCGCCGCACAACTCACCACATTTTCCAAGTAAGGGCTCAAAGGACCAAGTAAAATGAAGAAAGTATTCAAGAATGCTTGAGTAAATAGCACAATTTCAATAAGAAAGCCGGTTTCCTGTTTATAATATCGCCATTATGGCTTTCTGTAGTTACTGATATTGGTAAGCAATCAACTGCTGAACTGTAATGTTAATTTCAATTGAATGGATTAACTTAAAATGAAATGAAAATATTAAATAGACAAAAACCAAACAAATAAATACATGGGTCCTGGTACAGACGCCAGACTTAACATTGTTTTACAATACAGACAAACCCATTGAAATTAGGCAAATTCAAGGACAAAGGACAACCTTCTGGCGTCTGTACTAAATACAAATCGAGGAAATATTGGAACAAAAAAAAAAACATTCAACTAATATTTCCACTTCAGAGCAAAAGAAGAGTTGCTGTCACATGGTTTTTTCACAAATACACCGCTCGGACTCGCCTTCGGAGCCAGCGCTGTTAGTGGCGTGGTGGTAGCCCTAGCCATATGCCCGTTTGACGTCACAACTGTCCGTTTATACAACCAGGGTTGGTATCACTGCAAACTTTTTTTACAGGTTCAAGGAATATCTGCTATCGAGGGGATATTTTGAGGATGCACCGCTAACTTTGTCGTTTTGGGCGAGCATCGTGTGCGGTGTGATCGTTGTCATTATTGAAACCCCGCTGGATGTAGCAAATACGCGGCTTTTTAACCAGGGTAACGTTCCAGCTTGGTGGTCGGTGGTCGGACGCTCTTGCATGCTTCGCTTAAAGTCTGGTCAACTATGCTTTCTATGTCGTTCGTAGTTTGGGACCTTGGGTCTTTTAGGTCTACTGTACTGCCTATTTCTCTCCGTCTACTCGTCTTTTATTATAATACAGAACTCAAATTCTAGTTAGTTTAGGATACTTGAATCAAATAATTTTATTGACTAGAAAAAAATTCAAAAATTGACACTTAACAAAATTAAATAAGTTCACAAACAAAACCAGTTTGGGCAAATATTATATTGACGACAAACTAGAACTTGTACATGTGTTGTATAAACTTTGACTTCTTTGTAGTGTAGTTTTTACAATTTTTTGAACACACTCCCCTTTTATTACAAAGCATGATTTATCTTTAGTGTAGGTTTAAGCCATTGAGTCAGTTTATGTATTTTCAATCTTATTCTCATCTACCTTGAATTTGAAATACAAAATTTGTCTCAAAGGTTTAGAGTCTAATAGACCTAGACTTGTAATAAGGCCAGCTGAGTATTATCATCTATTTGTAATTCTTACTACCCTTAATAAATTGACCGTTGTAGTTATAAAGGTTCTCACCGTGAAATATCAGATACTGGTTGGCGACTTATTTTCCATAGATCACTATTGTTAATTGACCTAATAATTAGATTTACTTTCCAAATTCTGATTTTCTAAGAGCCTGTTTCACAAGTATCAAAGTATCCAACAACCTCATATGGGACATAGTTCATAAAAATAAATGTTAGCTATTCAGACACTGGGAAATAGGCTCTCATATTTCTTTGCATCTGAAACGCTCTACCTTATCTGTAGTCGGACCAAAAAACTTATCATAGAAAATTAGGTACTAAAAATATATCTTATCCGATTTTTCAGGATCCTCAGCAACGGGCGCCGTCCTATATACAGGAGTCCTCGACTGCCTCACAAAAATATACAGAACCGAAGGCCTCCACGGTCTTTACAAGGGATTAGGACCTCTCTACCTAAGGATAGCACCTCACACTACACTTTCCCTTGTCATATGGGACATGCTCAACAATCTCTTAGCAAAAAGTAAAATAAATACTAAAGTCGTTGTTTACCAAATGCCTTTTATTCCACAACAAATACACTTCAAATAAGTAATATAGAAAATCAATAAAATATCAAGACTGGGACGCGATCGGGGGTGAAAAATGTATTTCCCATTCGAGGTCTAGAGAGCTGGCATCAGAGCTATCATCGTCCTCGCCGTTGCAGCAGCTGCATGATTCATTTTCTTCTTGCTCACTTAAGCTGCATTCATCATTAGAATCGTACAGACCTATCGCTTGTTTATACGCTTTAAGGCAGGTCTTTTCACAAGCTTCAGGGTGATAAGGATCCTCCCAAACCTTGTCCACGGCTTTTTTGATGATTCTATGTCGTTTTCTTTGCTGCTTCTCAACTCTTTCTTCATTGTCCTCTCTGCTTATCCTGTAGATTAGAGGAGTACAGTGATCCATGTTAACTTCATTGTCTGCTGGTGAGACCTGCATTTCTACCCTGTACTCCCCCCTTCTCTTACAAATAATGAGGGTCGGTTTATCAATCACTCTCTTCTTTGTCTTTTTTGTAGGCTTCGCTTTTTCTACTGGGTGCGTTTGCCTTCTAGCTTTGTTCAATTTCTTTAGAAGCCGGTTCGATATCGCACCCGGCCTCCAACCTTGTTTCACCTAAGATTTAAAACAATACATTAATATGTTTATTTAACACAGTAAACCAGAGATCATAAAAAAATTACACAAATAAAATAAAAACGCTTACTTGATCTTAATTTCCTCTCATTATGTCGCGAACTTGTGTGAACGTTATTTCATAAAAAAATGAAAAAACAAATATTTTAAAAATTAAGAGAGAAGATTGGGTTACTTCAATTGTAAAAAAATGCATACCACATCACAATGCTATTGAGATATGCGACTATTATTTGAGAAAAAATGTTTCTGTCAGAATTCAGAATTCGGTTTCTATCAGAAATAGCATCCATATTTTAAAAAGGTTCTTTTATAAATTGAAGAGGGGACTGTAAAAGGTTAATTATGAAAAATGCCAACGAACGATAATAAATAAGTATTTTATTTACTATTCACCTTACAAAATAACGTTACAAAATTTGACTTAGAACATAACCAAATATATAACACTTATAACTTCGACCATTATATACTATAAAAACCATCGTTTGGACTCGGAATTAAACCACATAAACATAATCAGGCTGTGTTCCTATTGTGTTATGCTCGCGAGAGGAATGCGTTGATTGCTTCCTTCCATCTCCTTCGCCAGCACCCGCTGCCTTAGCCAGTGCCACCAAGCGATCATATCGCTGCTTCTTCATCAATTCCGCACTAATAAACGAGTGGAAACATGGTACGTGGAATGAGCTCAAACTAATACCCTGATCTACAAGTGTAGCCAGTCTATCCTTGGGCCTCCTATTTTTTTTATCTTTTAACCTAAAATAAATCTTATTCCCGTGTCCATCTATCGCAACGATACCCTTATGCGATGGTGTAGCATGTTTACATTTTCTCCTCTCCTCCAACATGTGTTGTTGAATAGTACCTTGCAGGTCTTTATTTTTCTTTCCCGACCTCGGAACTATCTTTGGTTCTGGTATTTTGACGTCTTCGCCGTGTGCTAACATGTCACGTAGTTTTTTTATCAACAATTTCTTATCTTGTCCATGACCAATTATACCCATTTTAGACAATTGTTTCGGAGAAACACTGCCCAAACAACTCCAAGTAGCGTCAGATGGTTTCATATCATTTGTTTTGTGTTTGGCACGCTTGGCCGCAGATTTCTTTTTATTGGATCGCTCCTTTTTTGGGGCTGGAGGTTTCGACTTGGGGTAAAACTTCCACTTGCCCATTTCAACATATCCATCCACTCCAACAACCAGCCACTGACCATCAACAGACTGAAATTTTCCTGCCTCTGCATCGACAAGTTCTCCGTTTGGTCCTATAAAACTGTTCGGAGCCCATCTCTCATCAGGTCCAACATAACCATCCGTGTTTATTTCAAGCCACCGGTTATCCGGTCCCCAGAAGCCACCCAAGTCACTACACACTTGCTTTCCATCAGGACCCTTAAAGAACCTAGGTACAGGATTACCATATCTATCTAAAAGTTTAACTCTATAGTCTAAGTAAGAATATTGAGTTGAAACATCTGCAGTTACAACTTTCTTACACTTGTATGTTGGATCAAATTTAGCACAAGGTGGTGTAAATTCAACGATCCATTCATCCTCATCAGTGAGTGAACCATTGTCTAGATCATCAACAGAGCAAGAACAGGACCTCTCGGGGTCGATTCTGTCAGAACCAGGATCTATAGGGTAACATGGACAATCGGGACTCTCAGCACCAGGTAGTATACCAAGAGCTTGTTGATAAGTCTTGAGACATATCTTGTGACACATATCTTTAAAAGCGCCTTGTATGAATTCACGCTGATTCAGCTCTTTGAGCTTTTGTTCATGGGCTTTCCTTTTCTTTCTTTGAAGATTTTCTTCTGATGTCCTTCCTATCGTGTATGTCACTAAAGGTTTATCTTCATACGGGTGTTGATTAAACGTTCTAGGTTTAGCATAATTTTTCATTGTCTCCATTGTCACCGTGTATTCACCTTCCTTCTTGTGTACTATAAGCAATGGCCGTTTCAATGGTCTTTTGACCTTTCCTGTGTCTTTCTTTTTCTTTTTAGCCATAACCTGGCCAGGGTTTTTAGCTATTTTAAGTAATCTTACTACATGCTTATTAGTTGCACCAGGTTTCCATAATGGACGAAACTAAATGAATAATAAAAAAACATGCATTTTTATTTATTTAGATCATTAGACCAGAGACGATATAAAAAAATTATACAGACCTTCACTCCAGGTACGTTGTCAGCATTCCACAACCAACCCATATGTTTGGGTACTGCACCCAAAGTACCACTACAAGGCAGTGCGCAGCGACTGTGGCCAATTTGCGGAGCTATGTATGTAGACAAATTTTTAATTTCATTACTAAAAATACATAAAATATACCTGGAAGTAAAAAAAAGATAAAATACGTACGTATACCTTGATAACCATAGTTGAATTTGAATCTGCTATCCTTTTTCCTTTTACTTTTTTTTGTCTCATTAGCATCTATTTCTTTCTTAGCTTCAGCCATTTCTTTTTTATCTTTCTTTATATCAGCAGTATCTCTTTTATCTTTTTTTAAATCAATAACTTCTTTTTTATCTTTTTTGGCATCGGCAATGTCCTTCTTATCCCTCTTAGTGTCACTCCCAGAGGTACTAATTTTACTTTTGTCAACTAATTTATGAAAGATAGGACAGGGAAAGGGCAATTCAAATGGTGGTTGTTTGTTATATTCATCACCAACATGTTCATAACCACCGCATATATTACAGAATGTTGTTTTTTTCACAAAGCCAAATTTACATTCACAGGCACAGTAGCAAGGTTCATCACCAAATTTCAAATTAGCTGTCATCTCCCCTACCACTTCCTCCACTTTTTCAGAGTAATCACAACAAACTCTAGATTTCAAGTCTAAGAGCAGTGCATTGTCTGGTGGAGAGCGCAAAGGGCGTGATTTTTTGCCATCACAGTCTATGCGATCACATTTTTTGACAGTTATCAAGTGCGAAGCTTCTACTGGTAAATCCAATGAACAAACACTAAGCGTCCCAGACAAGTTTTGCAACTTCTTGGCAGGACAATCAGTGTCACATATTCTAAACTTATATTTTTCTCTTGGTGGTGACTGATCTGATTGATCAGATCGATTGCTCATTGATGGCGAATTGGCTTTTTCTGGGCTACTTTTTCGTGAAATAGTTTTTTCAGAAGCTTTTTCGGAATGTACAGACTTAGGAGAGTCTGCAAAATCGTTTTGCACTGTAAAATATCCCACACAGTAGACCTGGTTTCCAAAAGGCCCTGTGGGCTTACCACCGAAAATGTAATTTAGGATTTTATTTTCTTGAACTATCGTTGAACATGATTTTGATTTTCTAACACTTAAATTGTTATTTTTCAGATTTAGGTCACTCCTTGCCATTGACACGATGCTACTATTAAATCTCCTGTGACGAGTTGTCCTATTAAGATCAATCATTTTAGATTCACTAATGTCGTCTTTGTAATCAGCCTTCGCTGAAAGCTCCGCGTTTTCGGACTCCTTATGTATATTGCGAGTAATTTCACTAACCTTACGCTTTTTACCTTTCTCAACAGCTTTAACATTAACAGTGCCTTTCAACGTATTACCTGGTATCTCTTTAATGTTACATTTAGAATTAAACCCACTGTATACAACAGGCTCTTGTTTGCCTGGAATAGGGGGTTGGGAATTCTCTATGTCTTTTATGTGACTTAATTTTACATTTAGTTTAATTACTGCCATGCGCCTCGAAGTAAGTTCATCAAAAACATTATACTCTCCTTTGACGCAAACCGGGTCTTGTTTCTTGTGAAGTTTACTCAAATACTCGAAATATGGGGAACTCCATGCAATATGAGTAGATCCTATTTTGTAATCTGGAATTATCTTACTCCAAAGTGACAACTCCATCGGGTATTGTTTCATACTCGAAATTAAAGATTCTACACTATTGGAAAACAGAATCGATTGTCCCGTTTGCATTTTAGTTATAATTGATCTTTTCCTGGCGTTGGTATTCCGTCTACTTTTTTTAGGTCGTTTTGGTAAATACGATTCGTGAGTAGTGGGCTCGTCTAGACGAATGTTAAATACATCAGCAAATTGACTTTTAATGCAAAACTCTTTACAGTTGATCAAACTTTTCAATTGTTCCACAACTATCTCAAACATAAACATTGAATCCGCAACAGCCATTTTTATTTTATTTACACTTATGAAAATTAATTAACTTTAATGTACGCGTTTTTATACCATATATACCCGGATTGCACAACTATAAAATTTTATTTTATTACAACTTACAATTTAACAACTTGCCAAAAACTGTCAAATTTTGAAAAAAATGTTCTTCTACGTGTA